CTAAATACACGTTGAAGCTGTTCCCGCATTGCTCCAAATACTATCAAAGGCTACGCTCAGCGTGAATAACGTATCGACCACCCGGATCCTTTGTGAAACGGAATGAACTTTGTCGGAACGGCATGAATCTAGAATATACTAAACAATAAGAAAAAGGGTATGCGCAATTTTAAAATCAGATGAAAACACAAGCTTCCAGATGCAGACTGATATAGGAAAAGGCGTATGAGACCTCCAAGTGTGAACATGTACGGTGAGTTGTGATGGATGACGAAGGTTCAGAAGATGCTTCGTGGGGTAGAGATTGAATGATCGCGTTGTGCAGCGATGTTGCTTGTCGTGGATCCAACTCGATGATGCCGCGGGTATTGCAAGATGCCTGGGGTCTGAGGGTCGAGATATCTAGAAATCGTTGCTAGGGCGATACGGGCGATACTCGCGGCTGCCAGCGCTGGCTGCCCGTCCATTGGTCGCAGGAACAGAGAGCTGCCTGGAGGCGGGTCCATCCGATGTAACGACCCGTCGCCTGCCCTTTTCCAGTCGAGTAGTTCTCCAGCCCTCGTACCATTGCTCACGGGAAGCCTCGCGGAGCTCAGAGCGCCAATCACTGAAAACGCTCTCCCTGAGTTTGACGAAGTCACAGTGCTCTGGGTTGTAAGGATCGGCAAAGCCCCATGGGAATCTGCGACCAACAACCTCGGGGTCGTAAGGATCTGGCGAGATGATGCTGAGAGGCAAAAACGGAGTCTCTGCACTCTCGCTGTGGATCGAGGCGGACATGGCGGACGGCTTACGGCTGTGACCTTTCCTGGCGCTGGGGGGCGACGTGGGAGGGGAGTGCGACCTGGTCGAAGAGCTAGAGGAAGCCATGGAGCGCGCAGCTTCGGAAGAAGATCGCTCGAGGATTTTGTTCAGAACTTCTGATTTGCCTTCGCCCTCAGACGACTGCTCGTATTCGTCCTCGTCGCGCTCATCAAGTCGGTCGGGGTCTTCGTCATCGTCGCCAAGGTCCAGGTTCAAAGCTTCCAAGGGGTCCAACTTTGCGCGCTTGATGGTATCCCAGACAGTCTTCTTCAGATAGCGCATGTGCGCGCCGGTGATTGTGTCTGCCTTGCTAATGACTGGGATGACGGTGGTCCTGGTTTGCAGCTCGCGAAGTATGTTGAGATCGAGACGATCGTCTAGACCGCCGAAGATGGCGCTGCCAGCATTGACAATGTTGGACTTCTTGCGAGCCTCGGCTATGTTCTGGTCGAGGCGAATCGGATCCAAAACGAGGAAGACACAGTGGATGTGTGTATCCTTAACACCTGGCGCGCGTACGACCTTCTGCTCCTCGCTGAAAGTGTCTTCGAACTTGGACTCGAGGAACGAGGTGATGATGGGCAGCTGGAAGTCGACAATGTTCTTCTCGAGGCCCTCGGAGTCCCAGAGCGTGACGCCGACTCTCTCGCCATCAACTTCGGTCTCGAGGAATTCGGAAGTGAAAGGCGAGTCTCCACCACCTACAGCGGTAGCGGGCGGCGAGGGAGTGTTTGGGCGCTTTCGAGCCGGGAGCGCGAGCGCAGTGCGGAGAAACTCGATGAAAGAAGACTTGCCGCAGCCCTTGGTGCCAATGACAAGGATGCTAGGTAACGGTCAGCTCGGTGTCTACAGGTGTGTGACAAAACATACTTGAAAGGCGTGGGGTCCTTCCTCCTTCGCACACGACGGGGGCTGTTGACGGTGCTGATCTGGCTGCTGGCGTAGCTGTAGCGACCGCGGTTGGTCATGCTCTCGGTCCTCGGGTAGGGATCGTAATCCATGTAGGTCGAAGGCGAGGAGCCTGGCACGGGCGGCGCCACAGCGGGGCTGGGTTGAGCGGGAGCCATCCTGTAGGTGTCGGTCGAGGGGCGGCTGAAGTTGTGGGCAGTGGGGTTGTAGGTGCCGGCCTTGTTGGAGACAATGGCAATGGAGTCTGGGCGCGTGTCCTCACCTCCGAACGTCGCGAGCTGGGGAAGGGCCGAGTGGGAAGGCAGGCGCGGCGGCTGCTTAGGCAGCATGGTAGCTTCGCGCTGCCTGCGGAGAGCCTCCTCCTGGGCGAGGGCCTTTTGCTTCCTGCTCATCTTGCCGCCGGAGACGCTTCGGTTGGTGCTGCTGCCGCGGATTTCAGAGGAGCTTTTTCCGCTGGTTCGGCGCAGGAAGTTGAAGCTGGAACGGCGCGGTCCTGTTTGGTCGGCGGAAGACTGGGACTGGGACTGGGCTGCAGAGGGGCGGACAGAGGGGTCAGGTGAGCCGTCTTTGTAGGCGTCGGTATTAGGTGGATTAGGGGACCGGTCGTCAGTGGTGGTGGCCATGGTGGGCAGCAGAGGGCTCTTAATATCAGTGGCTCACACTTCGCGCGCGTGTAATCTTAGCAATCGAGGACTGCAGCGTAGTGGGTAAGCAGTCCTGCTGGGTCTTGCTGGGCTGGGCTGTCCTGCGCACGGCACAGCAATTCGGAAGCGTCTGGCGTCCTAGTGCGAGGGCAAGTGAAATTGGAGGAGGAGCAGCCGGCTGTATCCCAAGGTCAGCACTTGGTCAAACGCGCATCCAAATGGCGCGTGCGGGTCGGGGGCCCAGGGTCTGGTTAGAGCCTCTGACTAACCTTAAGGCCCGAGGCACTACTGCAGGAACGATACGCGCAATGGCACCCCCGGATTCTGCACAAAAAGGAATGCGCGGTAGCAACGTTGCGACAGAGTGCAGTTTAGGAGGACGAGAGCATGCAAATAGCCCTGGAGGGCGAATGGAGAACAGACCGCCACAACGACTACCCCAACGTCAACACGGCGTGACGCGTCTCGGGAAGGAGAAGGCTGGACGGCGCCTGCCATTGGCCGCGGCTTCTCGAGGTTGGATGCACAGCGGGAAACGACGATGGTGACGCCGACGGGGGTGGCACGCCCGAAAGATCAATGCGAAACAGCTGGCCTAACCAGACAACCACGGGCGACAGCGCCCAATTTGCACGCGCGCCAGTCATTATTCGGCACGCGATAGCTCAGTGTTGTGTAATCGTTATCGTCCGCCGGCGACATGCAGCTGGGGACCCGGGCCCTGGTGATCGTCACGCACATGAATAGGGGTTCACGCTAGCCTGCTCATCTCGAGAGCCCAGTGCCGCGCTGAGGGCGCAGAAGCCAGGTGTTTCTGGTAGGCAAGGAGCGCATGAATGCCATTCCGATCCGACACAACCCTCCTGGGGACACCCACGATGTCGCGTCGCAGAAAGACAGACGCCCTATATGCGCCCACATCTGGCGTCATCGCGCTCTCTTTTTCCAACAAACACAACAAGGTCTGATATTGGCTGATTCCAGATAGAGCAGAAACTTCACCAACGCCAACAAACTGCGCCTCGTGCATGTCGAGCAACATTGCCTCAGCATCACGCAACCTTGAAGACGTGCGCCTATCGATATGCCCCACACGCGTAGCGCGACTCAGTCGTCCTGGTCCCATGGATTGCTCTCCCGGCCCGCTCCATCCTACGTCAAGCCCAGCGATCAAACTCTAATAACAGATTGCCGCTCAAGTCAAAACCTTCCACTCTCCTCGATCTTGCCCATAACCTCTTGTGTATGCCCCCAGACCTTGTCCAGCCCGCCGTCCTCCCTCAGCTTCTGCGCTTTCTTGGTATCTGCCAGGATGTCCCCGTTCCAATTCAGCAGATAGCTTCCACTGCCTTTCACACCATCACTTCCAATAACGTCTGTCTTGGCGCTATCCGCTTTGGGGGCGTATCGCGGCGCCGTGGCAGCGAACAAATGTCTTTCGCCGCTTTCCACTTGTGGAACGAAGAGAAAGCGTCGAAATAATCCACCCAGCGTAGCCATGACAGTGTCGTTGAAGCGGCCGAAGAGTTCTCGCGTTACGCCTGTCTCGACACCAGATGGGTATTCGTGGATGTATGCTATCTTTGGATTCTGGTTTGCCAAGTGAGCCATGGAGAGAGACGTCATAGAGCTTGCATGGAGCAGGACGTTCTTGAGACTGAAGTTATGTCTGAGGGAGAGGTCGGAATAGTCAAGGCCTCCGAGTCTCAAGCCAGCCTGCGGGTCCAGGACAGCGACCACGCGAGACAGGTTGCCAGTCTCAGAGGCCTTGTTGAGGAGCGGTGTGAGTTGGGAGATGAATCGCATTCGTGCGTAGTATTGCACAGCCATCTTCCTGTCCAGACCCTCGGCTGTCTCGTCTCTTCCTTTCATCGTGAGGTATCCGCACGTCATAAACAGCACATTGACTTGCTCCTCCTTGCTCTTGATCTCACTGCATGCCTCGTCCACGTTTTTCAACAGCGAGATGTCCTTTTGGATGAAGCTAACCTGGGACGAGCTGTTGATCGAGTTGAGTTCATCCATAATCTTGCTGGCTTCTGTCGCGTTGCGGCCAATCAAATAGACATGTGGGGATGTGGTCGTACGAACGAATTCGCGAGCAGTGAAGAAGCCTATCCCACTTGTGCCTCCAACGAATACCGCGACTAGATTCGGGGGTAGGGTTTTAAGTGATGCGTTGTGAGCGCGAACAACGTCAAGAGCAACCATGACGGCGATAATTGGAATGAAGTAGAGTGTTTTACAGGAAGATGCGATGCTAGTTAGAAAGCGTAAAGAACCGCGAGGGCGGTCGTTAATGAAGTATCTATTGCCGATGAATGCAGTCCTGCCAGCTTAACCGTGCGTCCCAATATTCGTCCGTGGCGACGGAGATAGCGTTTGTGAAGTTACCCAAGACTATTCGTGTCGGACTGATTCTAGCGGGGCATTCTGTACTCAGACTTTATGCTCAAGAGCATTGCTGAAGGTGCGTACAGGTAGGAAGCTGGTGCTCCCACTCGAACAGGCTCAATCCTCCGCGTCCGCCGAAGACAGCGCTAGTCCCACCAGATCCTCACCCTCCACCCCACCAAGTATCTTTCGCAACATGCCTAGAATCACGTTCCGCGCAGTCCTCACTGGAGAGGAAATACGCCCACCATGAACGCATTCGGTGACATGTCACCTACCTTGGACCCGACTCAACTCGCTGCTGGACACGCTCCACCCACGCCTCCGCACGAAAATGCACTCGACGATATTTACGGTTCGGCGCCCGCTTCACCCACCCTCACAGCGAACGTCCCTCATGTACGCGCTCACGAAATACTATCCGACCTCCCGTCGCGTCAACGAGCGCTCGACACAGATGCATACCGAGAGGGTCTGGCAAACAGCAAAGGCCAATACGTGCAAGAAGGATTCGATGAAGGCTACTCTCTCGGTGCCAACCTAGGCCTACGCGTCGGCTACATACTAGGAGTTCTACAAGGCTTTGTCGCGGCCTGGAGGGGTCATGATGAGCAAGTCCACAAGGAAGTCGCACAAGTCTTTGATTCTGCGCGTAAAGAGCTCGCCATCGAGGAGTTGCTAGGCCGCCAGTGGGTAGACGAAGAGGGTATATGGAAGTGGGGTGTTGTAGGAAATGACGACGACCCTACATTCAGGGAGGTCTCGGACCAGCATCCTGTAGTGAAGAAGTGGATGGGCCTGGTTGAGGACCTGGCGAAGAGATGGGACGTTGATCTCAAGGCTGTGGAGAAGAGTCAAGTGCCGCAGGACGAACAAGCATGAGTGACTCCGAAGGATATCTAGGTGCTCTCTCGCAGTCTCACACCTCCCATGGTATATCGATATCACGACAAAGCTTTACTTGCATCAGCAAGGGCTGAAGTGGTGTCAACGCAATCACAGCAATCGCCTCTCCATGCATCCGATCAGAAAGCTCTATAGCTCGCTCGAGGACGAGATAGCCTCCTGTTGACGGGAGATGAAGCAGAACTACACCATCTTGAGATAGGATAAGGGGAGGCAAATATTCGCAGACAACGTCCTATCCTTTCCCATCCCGCGCAGCTTCACAAAGTCAGAAGTTTTGGCTAGATAACGAAACTCTCAAAGATTACAAAGAACGAGTGGATAGAGCTACGATAGAAGCAGAAGTTCGGGTTATACCGGAGCATGAGGCTGACACCCTCAGATGGTGCACGGACGAAATCACGGTTGTAGGCGGGCAATTGGCGGCGTTGAAAATGCCGTCATGACTTTAAGTCCGACAATGCGCGACAGATAATGCAATCTCACAACGTGCTCCTCATGTCATACTACACATTTTCCGTGCTGTCTTCACCCTGTTTCCGACAGCCATGATACATGGCTTGTCTGCTCTTCGAAGAGCACCTGCGCAACATGCGACATCACGATTGCTGACGTCAACCTTCTCCCCCACGCGACTCTACCAGGCACCACTCGCGCGCCGCCTTCAAACACAGCAATGGGAGCCTCTGCGCCCTCCGAACCCCGCAGACCTACCGAAACCACGACAACGTAAAGTCAAGCCTCCGTTTACCCGCCGGAAATGGGTGCGCCGCCTTGCGGTCATCTCTGCACTGCTCGGTGCTGGGTGGCTAGCTGACCGGCAATTCTACGCCTCGTCCATCACACGCAGTTTGCGCACATTCAAGACCGGCCTTTTGATAGGCATAGACTACAAGATCAACTTTCGTGCGCATCCTCCGCTTGCGAACAGTATTGAAGAATTGCATGCGCGGAATGCGCAGAGGATATTCGACCTGCTGCGATACAATGGCGGACTATACTTGAAGATTGGCCAGGCGATTGCTATGCAGAGCGCGATATTACCACCACAGTTCCAGAAAATGTTCCAGCAAATGTTCGACGATGCGCCGCAGAACGAGTGGTGGGAAGTCGAGCAAGTCATACGAGAGGACTTTGGCAAAAGCGTCGAGGACGTCTTCGGTGTCAGCTTCACACGGGAAGGACAGGACGGTCGGGGTATAATGGAAAAGACTGCAAGGGCTAGTGCGAGTGTTGCGCAAGTACACTGGGCAAGACTGGCAGATGGAAGAGAGGTGGCCATCAAGATTCAGAAGAGAGAGATTGCGCAGCAGGTGGGATGGGACCTGTGGGCTTTCAAGGTCGTTTCCAAAGTGTATACCTGGTGGTTCGGCATCCCTGTTTACACGCTGGTTCCATACATCTCGGAGCGCCTAATGCTGGAAACGGATTTTGAGAACGAGGCAGACAACGCGGTAGAGATGAAGGGGCTGGTGGCCGGAGAACCGCGACTCAACGGGCGGGTTTACATACCTGCAGTATACCGCGAGCTTTCAAGCAAGCGTGTCATGACTGCGGAATGGATCGAAGGTGTACGATTATGGGACAAGGAGGGCATCACAAACAGCTGGAAGGGTGGATGGCGCAGAGGCAGCCCCGGTGCAGGTGGTAACCAGCTACCACCTATCCCCCGAGACGCTAAGATCGATACACATGCGCCGGAGGATGCCACACAACACGAGTTCTTCAAGCCGGACCGTAGTTCATGGAGAGGCAACGACGAGAAAGGCGGCCTCGGCGTCTCCCTGAAGACCACCATGAACACTATCGTCGATCTCTTCTCAGCACAAATGTTCCTCTGGGGTGCGGTACACTGCGACCCCCATCCAGGCAACATCTTCGTCCGCCGCCTCCCCAACGGACAGCCGGAAGTCGTCCTGATTGATCACGGCCTGTATATCCGCATGGATCCCAAGTTCCGTCTCCAATACGCTGAATTCTGGAAGTCGCTCCTCGCTTTTGACAACGCCAAGATCGAGGAAATCGTCACCAGCTGGGGCGTAAAGCACGCCGACATCTTCGCATCAGCAACGCTCATGCGTCCGTACGAAGGTGGCGATAAGAGCGTAGCAGGTGTTCTCAAATCTGAAATGAAAGGAAAAGACCAAGCGGAGCGAGCCTTTGAAATGCAAGCCAAAGGCCGCGACGCCATTAAGCTCATTCTCGGCGACGACGCAAAGTTCCCCCGTGAACTCCTCTTCATCGGCCGTAACCTGCGCATCGTACAGGGCAACAACCAATTTCTCGGTTCTCCCGTCAACCGCATCAAGATCACTGGACTATGGGCTAGTAGGGCTTTGATTGAATCCAAGGATCTAAGTGTGAGCCAGAGATGGAAGAACTGGATCCAGCATCTGCGCTTCCGGTTCGTGCTTACACTTAGCGATGCGGTGTTCCTCTGGAGTAAGCTCAAGCAATTAGTTGGTGTGGGCGGAGGCATGGAGGATGATATCGAAGCGCACATGCGTGTCATGGCCAAGGACTTTGGTGTTGATCTTCAACATGGCGTCTTTGAGGGCTAGTAGCTGTATAATATATTTAATTCCCCTCATATACGAGGCAATGCCTGACATGGATTATGACGGTATGGGATTGGTAGTCCTAGTTTTGTAAGTGCATCGCTAACCCGTTAAAGAATTGTTCCGGTCACCATCTGCTTGTATACCACGAACATCTACTCCCAAACTTAGCGAACCCCGTGGAGACTACTGGAAATCATCATCTACTACGGTCTCATAACAAGCCCCGAAAAAGACCTAATCCGCGCGTTCCTGAACAAAGTTCACGCAAAGAATGCCCCGCACTAGCATCCCGCTCGACATTTCCGAACCTCCCCACATCCATGGATCTTTCCGGCATCGCGTCAGGCAGGCGCCGGTAGAACATATATCCACCATAGACTCAGATCCTAGCCCTTCAAATACATAGAACACTGCTTGTAGCAAGAGTGAAATTTCTATCATCAACTCATATCTACTGCAAACAATGGCACCAAACTGGGACAGACTTATCCGCTTCATCGCCACAGATGGGCGTGAGCTGCGGGGTCAACCAATACTCCCCTCGCCAGAATTCGATGTCGGTACGACGACAGAAGAGACGGGACTAAAGGCCAAGGTAATCGATGTTAAGAACAATGACATCTTCGATCCCGCCACCAAGGTCACCGATGAGGAAGTCACCGTCAAGAAGCTACTCGGCCCCGTAACCACAGACGAAGTACCCATCATCCGGTGCATAGGTCTAAACTTCATCAAGCACAGTAAGTTCCTCTGTCATCTCGTCCCTTTCCAAGAAAAAAAAGACATCCCATTAACCTCCCCACGCCCAGTCCAAGAAGGCGGCCGCACCCTTCCTCCTTACCCTTCAACCTTCATCAAAGCCAACACCTGCCTAAACGACCACAACGCGCCCATCGTCATCCCCAAACTCGCCCAAGACAACCAAGCCGACTACGAAGGCGAACTCTGCTTTATAATCTCGCAAGACGCCAAAAACGTCTCCGAAGCCGACGCCTTCAACTACATCGGCGGCTACACCTCCGGCAACGACGTCTCATCCCGCAAACTCCAACGCGACCCCCTCCTCGCAGGCACAGTCCCACAATGGAACTTTTCCAAAGGCTTCGACACGTACGCGCCTTTAGGCCCTCAACTCGTCTCCACACGCGTGATCCCTGACCCGTCGAAATTGCATCTCAAGACTGTGGTCAACGGGGATCTGAGACAGAGTTCTGGGATCGATGATTTGTGCTTCAAGATTCCGACGTTGGTGAGTTATTGTAGTCAGGGGACTACGCTGAAGAAGGGCACGGTTTTCATGACGGGCACGTGTGCGGGCGTGGGGTATGCGATGAGGGAGCCGCAGTTTTTGAAACCGGGGGATGTCGTGGAGGTTACGCTTAGTCCCGAGATTGGGACGTTGAGGAATACGGTGGAGTATGCTTAGGTGGATGGGTGGGTTGAGGGATTGGGCTGAGGGTGTGGGTACGGGGACCTTGATGGGGAATGTATGTATAGTGCTTTGGACTATTCGTTTGATGTTTCGAATGCATAAAGGTCTTGCACAATTCTTATACTTAGGATTTGAAGCTTGTGTACAGAAATTGTTGTGGTTCCTAGACTGGAATACGAAATCAGAAGTCGACGACGGCGATTGTATTGGATCTATTGTTCGTACAAGAGTTAGCTTATCGTGTCGCGTGGATATCACTGGTTGTAGATCCCGAGGAAACGACACGCATCTTCATATTCTTGACGAGGATGGCGTGATGGAATACAGATAATCTTGGAGGACGAGAAGCCTTCCCATCTAAACCTTCACATCAAATCTTCGACCTCGCCTTACTCTTCTCCTCCATCTCCCTCCTCTTAATCTCAAACCTCTCCATAGGCGCCCCCTCCACAAACCGCTCCGCCAGTGCATCCACAGCATTAACCACAGCCACCAACCTCGCATCCCTAATCGGCGCATTCTGCAACCTCTTCATCTCAATCATGCTCTTGCCATCATTCACTTTAAGCTGTTCCTCCAAGAACGCCTCAACCTTGCCATGGAATTCGTCGCCAGTAGCATCCCACACGTAGTTGTACAGGCCGGCATCGAGCAGCTCTTGCGCGGAGAGCTTGCGGCCGAACATGAGGAAATCGTTTGCGCGGTGGATGCCGATGGATTGCGCGAAGGAGAGGGCGGAGCCGTTTTCGGGGACGAGACCGAGGGCGGAGAAGGGACATTGTAGCCAGGCGGTTGAGGAGGCGAGGACGATGTCGGCGATGCCCGGGAACCAGGCTGCGCCGCCGCCGACGGCGGGGCCGTTGAGCGCGAGGATGAGGACTTTGCGGTGGCTGTGGGGTGTCAGTTTCGGTGTGTGAGAATACATGGGTGTATGTAGACTTACTCGATCATCGAACGTAGAAGCTCCGTTGCTGTGCCCATGTCAGAGTTAGTACTATAATTCAGAAGTGCCATCACATTTCAACATGAAAGCAAAGTTGCGGCGTAGGCAAGATCAAGGGGTGGACATACCATAGCTGAACCTTGACATGTAACTCAGCTTCTTCTCAGCATCGTTCTTGAAGGCTTCGCTACCTCCCCCGGCGATCCCCTTTACGTCCGCGCCGGCAGAAAAGAAGCGTCCCTCGCCTGTGAGCACGGTGAAGATGGTGTCTGGGTGCTCATTGAGAACGCGTAATCCGGCGATGATGTCGGGAATGAGGTTTCCGCCAAAAGAGTTCAGGGCCTTGGGCCGGTTGAACTGAAGGATGTGTTAGCGGACGCATACTGTGATGTTTACGCATGGGTAGATCGGATAAGATCGTCTGGAGGGATTCGGGACTGTGCCTCGCGAATTGATGATGGAGTCTTTGAATATTACCTTAATGATACCGATCTTGCCCTTGATCTCGAACTTAATATCCGAGTAATCCGATGGAGAAGTCATGATGTTATATTTTCCTAGCTCTTTCGCGCTGTTCTTCGAGACGGTAGAGCAGATCTCCGATCACAATGTCGCAAAGATTCTCCTATTACCACGCTGTTTTAGGTAGGTGGATGGTAAGATGGGTGATGAAACTCCAGACTATCGAGACGGAGTGTACTTGTGGAAGATGAATAGTAAGCTTTCCCCGCAAGACGCGACAGGCCTCGGTTCGGACAGAACGAAGTCTCGTGTTGTGTATTGACGAGTCAGACCATATAGACGCGATCTAAAGAACAAAGCAATTAGATGTTATGCTTTGATGCTGATTGCGCGATGAGAGATGATGCAGCGAGGTGATGTAGTCGCGTACCTGTGCATGGGTTGCTGACGATACTGTGAAGAACGATGTCGCGTTTTACCTCGGCAGGGTTACGAGGCACGTCATCACGGGCTACTACATCCACAACATCGCATGCACAGCACAGAAGCCTTAACGGACTCATGTGCGGAATCAATTTGATCGTTCGCGCTTGTTTCAATGAGATCTGATAGGAACTCTAAGATAGTAAATCGTACTTACCGTATGACGCGCACGCGCACACTCCGTGTAAAGCAGGCAAAGTCACTATCTAAGCCACATTTCGCACAAGGTGCACAGCATCAAAAACTATAACCCGTAGTACTGTGAAGGTGTATCCCTAGAACACCTAGCCTTTTTGTGAATCCATTCTAAAGCATGTGATTCGAAATCTTTGTTACAGTCCCAAACCACCTGTTCATGTTCTACGCGCAAAGTCCTGATAGCCTGGAAAGGCAGACACAAATGGCACTGGAAAGTCCGTAACACTCGAAATATGAAGATGTTGCTCTTCGCTCTGCGTTATTGCAGCTCTAGCCGACTCAGATGAATATAAGAAAAGAAAACTGCATCACATCCTCGCTGAAGCTCGAAGTCTAGCTGGAGTATCCATCCGTAGTTCTTCATTGGCCCATCAAGCAAGTCAAGTCACAAGCAGTATACCAGTCACGGGCATCACGCAAAACATTCAATCAGCGATGCGAGAAAAGCATATAATTCCAAAGCAAACAAAACTAAAAGCACCATCACTCGCACCACACGTCCCCTTTCCCCATCTCCAAGCGCAATGGTCGTGGCGAGCTAGATGTTCCTTTCCCGTCCCTGGAAGCAGCCTCCTTGATGGAGATCTGTCAATCGCGCGGACTACTAGCCGCCAACCCCATTGCAACCCTTCGAGTCTACCAGCCAAGCTTCAGTCACATACACTCTTCGCCAGATACAATTTAAAATCGTCCCCTTGTTAAGCTTTACCTCCCCACAAGCTGGCAGACATGTCCGAAGGGGGGAAACTCAAGGAAAGTACTAAGAACCACATGAAAGGACGAGGGGGCAGGGGATAATTAATGCGAGGTGAAAGCCGTAAAGTCAAACAAAGATCAGTCATCAGCTGGAGAGCTGCCCAGTAACACTAGCTGTGCAAGACAACCAAGATAATCGGTTGGCTGTAATCCGGAAGGAGTTGAGATGTGTTTACAAGCCGAACTGTAATGCCAAATGGAGATACCGTGTGGGTCGAGCTTCCAGAGATGTGTGTGAGATAGTCGTCAGAGACGCATGGCCATGAGAAACGCAAGACAGTGGAATGTCTTCCTAGGTCCGTACGAGGTGTCTGACGAATGGATCCCATGAACTGATCAAGGAGCGACGCCGTCCAATATGTTGCCAGGACGGCAATGCCGCATTTCCCATTCGTTGTGTGTGCGGAGCCGCGTCAGAAGAAGCGGTCACGCAAGAGTTGAGATGACGAATCGAAAGCCGCATCAAATCAGTAACCAGATGCATACTGGTCCCCGCCACGCTTGTTGGCCGAACGAAGCTGCCTGAAAGAAGGAAGAAGGTTAGTAAAATCTGGATCTGGCGCCCCCCGCGCTAAGCGTTCTCAACACCAAACGCAAAGGAGAGGGTCCCTTACGAGGATCAGATATATCGAACTCACATTCCGGTGCCCTCCTGGCGCGCGTTGACCGGACCGCGCTTGGTGCCAGCTGCCGTGCCCGCGTTGGCAGCGGCGGTGGTGGTGACGTGGCGTCCGCGGCCCTTGTCGTCTTCCTCGCCCTGGCCCTGGTTGGCAGCCTGGGCGATGGCTTGGGCGTTCTTCTGGTACTTGTAGACGGTCCAGTCGAACACGTAGTCGTACTGGAAGCCTTCACGGACGAAGAGGTCGCGGAAAATCTTGCGGAGGTACGAGTAGTCGGGCTTGTCATCGAAGCGGAGGGAACGGGTGTAGTTGAGGTAGATGGCGAACTCGTTGGGGAAGCCACGGCAGAGGACCTCGGTGGGAGTCGTCATCTTCTTCTCCATGATGCGGTCGTATTTCTGCTTCTTGGTGGCCGCCTTAAGACCCTGCCAGGGAAGGGATCCACGGCAGAAGTAAAGCATGACATAGCCCAGAGACTCCATGTCGTCACGGCGGGATTGTTCTGGTCATGTTAGTTTAGCAAGCTGGATGGTGTGCGGGATACGTACCGACACCCAAGTGAGTGTTGATGGAGGCGTAGCGGGCGGTACCAGTCAAGTTCTTGTTCTCTCTGTACGGGATGTGGAAGTGCGTCTTGGGATCGCGGTACTTCTTGGCCAGACCAAAGTCGATGACATTGACCTGGTTGCCGCGCTTGCCAATGCCCATAAGGAAGTTGTCGGGCTTGATGTCGCGGTGGATGAAAGACTTGGCGTGGATGTACTCAATGCGGGAGATGAGCTGATCGGCGAGGAGCAGAACAGTCTTCAGGGAGAACTTGCGGTTGCAGAAGTTGAAGAGATCCTCGAGGGAAGGGCCGAGCAGGTCCAGGACCATGGCGTTGTAGTCGCACTCGGTTCCGAACCAGCGGACAAAGGGGATGCCGACACCGCCAGCGAGCGACTTGTAGACGCGGGCCTCATATTCGAGCTGGGGGTGCTTCGCCTTGACGCTCTCGAGCTTGATGGCGATCTCCTCACCAGAGATGATGTTGGTACCTGTAGACGTCAGCGGTGTTGGGGGTGATGAGCGATGGGCGGCGGCTACGTACCGAGGTAGATGTCACCGAAACTGCCGCTACCAATCTTGCGGCCGATTCTGTACTTGTTGCCGACGCGGAGGTCCTGCTACTGTCAGCCTGGGGTCCTGCGGAGCGGTGCTTGGCCGCCGTGGTGACGGCAAGCGGGGTCGGGGCGTACCATTGTCGTCATGCTTGCAGAGGTGCAACCTTGAGGAGGTTGGCCTGTGGTGGAGGGAGGTGTTGAGGGGGGTGGGTCGAGTGTTGTGACGATGGGGGCGCGGTGATGTTTTGAGGATCAGCCTGCTGCGGTGGACCGGTCAGTATGAGGCTTTAGCCAACAAGGCGGTGAGTAAGCGGAGCGGGCAGCCGAGAAACGCTAGGGGAGGCAGTCGAGCGTGTTGACCGACAGGTAAAGGAAAGGCCAGCGGAGCAGGTGCGTCGTGGTGAGAGATAAATAGGGCACGGGGGGCAGAGGGCGGAGCCGACTGACGAGCTGGGCAGGACTTACTGTAGGGCGTGAATGAGCCCAACGATCAACGATGCCGGCGAGCGTAGGTGCGGGCTGGCGGGCGGGCGAGGTTTGCAACTCTAGCGAAAACGACACAGAGAGGCAGCTGCAGGGCACGGGACAGCACAAGAGGCCGGTGGAACAAGCACACTGTGATCGTGGTGCTGTATCAAAGGAACGCTGATGGCAGGATGGATGCAGAGAGCCTGCCTTGTATTCGGCCACCGTGCTTGGCGCGCTAGCGAGCTCTTTCACCGTGGACTGCTGCCCGCTGCCCGCCGCCGTGTATCAAGCCTGCGGACCGCACATCACATCCCTGAGCCGCTCGGAGGCATCGCGACCCATCGCACCGCCGTTTGCGTCGTGCGTGTCCGCACATGTCCAGGGTGTCAGTGTCGAGATGCCACTGCCCGTTTCAAATGCCGTCGCCTGACTGCCGCATCATGCGACTGAGCCACAGATCTGCCCCTTTATGCATCTCGCGCAGTTCGCGAACCGATTGCGCTATATTTGACTTTGACCAAGAACGTCCTGCAGACGCCGTCCCGCTGCTAGAATGAAATTTCGTCGTAGCCGATGTTCTGGAAAGACTGCGGCCCGAAACTGTCTCGTGACGAAGGTCGGGTACGGCAAACACATTATTCAGCCTAGGCAAACACCACTTGCGTATAACAGTTTCATAGTTCAAAGCCAGAAACCACCCCATCAAGAGTGTCCCGCATATGCGTACAAGCCCTTTCAACAACACAATAGCGCTCGACGAGATGCTTTTTCATTCGGAACAAAGGAAAGAATCAGTCCCAACACCATCTCTCGACTCTCTCTGTGACATCACGTCGGCAAAACTCTTCGGGACTATGTAGTTATGCCTGCTGACCGAACCCGCTATGCCTACTGTATGAAGCACCGCGTAGCATGTGCCCATGGTCTGATACAGCATCACATTCTGCCTCTCATAGCGAGGACAGTTATACAATCTCTTTTGTAGAGCTGCTCAGCTATGTCAGAAACATTCGATACCGGAAACATCCGAATACCATCTTGACAGCGTACACCATCAACATCTAGTGACAAACAGGTTGGAAGGGAATTTGGAACAGTCTGTAGGTCAAACATAGTCTAGCAGCAGGTGATCTGCATGCGGAAACCGCCTGGTAGATGGGATTAAACCCCACCATATCTCTGATCCTCTTGGGTTGAGCCGAAGTACGCTCCCTGGCAACGTGGTAGCGATCTCTGCGTGGAAAGTTGCCTGCAATTCAGTTGACACGCACTCGCATGACCAGAGCCACAGAACAAGAGAGATGATATGTTCGTGATGGGTTGATTTTGCCAAGTCTATACAGCCATCTCAGTCGGAGACCTTGAATGATCCTCTTCCTCCGCGGCTATTATACACTGCCACTGATTGCACTCGTATGCTTAAAGATCGCTCCCCGTATCGCGAAGTATCCGGCTTAGTGGTTTGGCGCCTGGTTCTTGAGGGCTGGGTTGCGCGGGTCGTTCTTGTACTCGTCGGCTGTGCTGGTCAGCCTGCGAACATATCGAGCCGGATGGCTTGGTCTCTGAGATGAGGATTACGTACACTGGGCCATGGCGTTGGCGGCAGAGTTGACACCGTAGAGGATGACGAGGCCTGTTGACTCTTGTTAATCCTGTCTCACACAGCGAACCCTCAGCCTCCGAGCAATTCCATCTCCTTTCAATCCATCAATTGGGCCGCCTTGAATATTTCCTGCCCTAATCAAAGTCGCGCGACGTACCGGAGACGTAGAAGGGCCACATGGGCTTGGCTATAGTACCTCGTTAGCAATCTTTTCAAGCTCGACTTTCCGCTATCGTCGTGTGCAGGGTGCCATACCGATTTGCGCCGGGAACTTCCTTCCGAGAAGAGGCATTGTGACGTGTGTTGGAGAGGCAATGGACTGATTTGACGGTTGCGGCGAGGGATGCGGTGATGGGTTGAGCTCCGCTCGAAGAACAGCCCTGGAGATGCTTGGCGTCTGCGCACGGATCCCTCGTTGCTTTGTACTAAGAGGGAGCAACATCCCACTTCGCTCGCGTCCAGATTACACTTGCGATTGCCGAACCTTTTGCAATCATGGCGCTGGAAGGATGCGTAGGCTCGCTGCGCAGTAGTATGCAATTACTCGATTCATCTATCAACATACTGGACCAGGGCGTGAGCGACTTCCCCCGTCTGGCCAAAGTACTGCAGACGACACGGGTGTGTACACGTTAAGAACATGATTCTACCTTCATCGTGTTGACCCTGGAACAGCATTTCGAGCTCATCTCCGAGTCTGACCTCCAAACCGCGCAATCAGCACTCCTCTCAGAAATCCGCCCTGAAGTCGATAACCTTCTTAAGCGTGTAGAAAACTACCTCGACAAGCTGGAGCGTCGCGAGCAATCCTTGATAGCGAAATGCGATCTGAACGACGGCAGACTCGGACGCGACAACAATGGCAGCTCAGGCTCCAGACCAGCAAGCAGGACCGCACCGCGAAGCGGAGGCAAGACCATCAGCGCGCAACAAGAGATGAGGATGAAGACCTTGAAAGCGAAGAAGGATAGGCTTAGCTATGCCGTAGAGACGCTAGAGATGCAGGCGAAGCAGAGGGAGCGGCAGTTGCGGATGAGCATGGCCGCGCCGCAGCAGTTGTACGATGATTGATGTTCTGCTACATTTGGGTAGCGAGAGCATCAGCTAGCCCACCAGTGATGGAATGGGCCGCATGAGTTCACAATCTTGGGATAGGCGTTTTGACAATAAGATACCCCGGAGTAGTTCAATACAGACACCATATTATACCCACGAAATCTCAAGGAATGCAACAAGACGTGAATCTTCATTCAACCTCGGACGCCTGGTGCGTGAAGAATGCCCCCACAGCAGTCGGAATCAGCACTTTGGGTTGACGCGAATGACATGTGCTTTGTTCCACGATAACAAGTTACAAATGATAGTGCATAGCTTTAAACGTGTAATAAAGCGAAGAAAGTAAGCGTTTTCGGGTGTTGTTGTGATACCCAGTTCAGATGGTCAAGATGCTGGTGATGCGCTAGCGTCGGCTAACCCCGTGACCTGAGGGAGCGCAGAACTCGCAGAACACCGACATTGAACATTCTCCGACCACATCTTCCCCACCACCCCGTCCATCATGAGCTCTCTCCGCATCGCCCGAGCTGCCATCCGCGCGAGGCCCGCTGCCATTGCCCGCCCCATCCAGCGCAGAGGGTACGCCGAAGTCGCCAATGACAAGATCAAGCTCTCCCTAGCTCTCCCGCATCAGGTACGCCATACCAGCTGTCGCAACATGCGGGGGCATGCCCCAGGTTGCAATTGGCATCTGAACTGAGAGGCTAACTGGTGGTCAACAGTCTATCTACAAGTCCCAGGATGTGTACGTCGCTCGAGACCCCGGCCGATCCCGCAAAGCGAAATCGCGAATACTGACATGAGATGTTTTACAGCGTCCAGGTCAACCTCCCCGCGGAGACCGGTGACATGGGTGTTCTGGCCAACCACGTTGCCTCCATCGAGCAGCTGAAGCCCGGCCTAGTCGAGATCATCGAGGAGCAGGGTGGCAGCAAGCAATTCTTCCTGTCTGGTGGATTTGCTGTTGTGCAGCCCAACTCCGTCCTCAGCATCAACGCCGTCGAGGGCTACCCATTGGAGGACTTCAGCGCCGAGGTACGAGCGGATGCACGGAGATGGGAAATAACGACTGACAAGGAGATAGGCTGTCAGGAACCAGATCGGCGAGGCACAGAAGATTGCCAGCGGAAACGGCAGTGAGGCTGACATTGCTGAGGCCAAGATCGAGCTCGAGGTACGCACCGCAAACACATCTAGCAAGAAGCGCTGACAAGATCCAGGTCCTCGAGAGCCTGCAGGCTGCATTGAAGTAAATGTGTAAATAGCGTTCCTTGAGTACGGCATGCGCGGTATGTATAGTAGCAAGCACAGAGCATGCGTGCTTTCCGTGGTCAAAGAATAGAAGGAGCTCCCTGAGGTGACCAAAACATTCCAAACATCTTGCAGTCTCGCTCCTCTTGACCACATTCCTCTGCAATCCTGACCGACCGTACCTTAGCCCACCAGCAACCCTACGAGCTACACTACTTTTATTATTACCCTTCTATCAGTTTGTCTTACTTCGTTAGCACCCAGTCTTACTCTGTCTTACTTCGTTACAGCTTGTCTTACTTCACCACAGCGATCGCAGTTTTCCTTACACACAATCAACAGTTATCACGCGTCTACAACATCACCCTTCTCACGTCTGCAACGCATTATCCAAAAGTTTAGCGTCTCATGCCCCGAGGCTTCGACCAACCCACGTCAAGTTCTGCGTCCCGAGCTACCAATGCGGGACTACGCGAGCAGAGCAATCAACCATCAAACATAAGAACTAGACAGGGTCGGTTCGAAGCTCCTGCTACGATACCGGGAGCCGGAGAGGCGAAGCAACCATACCCGACCACGTCCAGACGCAAGTCTAGTAGTCCCTCAGCTTTGCCCCTCCCACAAGCATCGAGCGAACCTCAACTGCCTCCTTCCGGACGCAAATCGCCTGCCTATTTGCAAGGCAGGAACCCATATGGCCGAGTCTTGGACAAGGTCCAGCATCCGTACCGGGAGCCCGAGGCAGTGACAACAGCACCTGTACCGCCTTCCCAAGCTGGCTCCAATATCGGTTCACGGTCACCTGCGGCAGGCGTCACAGACTCCAAACAACAATCTCTGCCCCAAGAGCCGGGTCGACGCGGCACCCAGACAACATACCCGCCATCAAGACAGCCACAGGTCCCCAAGTCAGTTCGCTCTGCCAAGAACTTCTTCGAGACGGAAGCCTTTCAACGTCCGTCAGCATCCCGTCCCCCACCTTCAGTTCCTGGTACCAGTGCCGCGAAGGCGCTCGCACCCCAAACCTACCCCTCTAGTTCCTCTCTCGAATCTCCTGCCCATGCTCCCAACCCGAAGTTGTCTTCTACTGCTGACGAGCAAGCCCTCGATACTGGGCTGCTGTTGTCTTCTCTCACGGAATTTTACGATACTCGCGAATCTGTGCAGTCTGTGATCTCCTACAAACAAGGCGAAGCCGACGAGTGTGGTCCCATCATCACGACACAGAAAGCAACGCCCCCGGCCGTACCATCTGATCAGGGAGAGGAGCAGTACTTTTCCGACAAAGAGCGAGAATCCATTGGTCGGCGGAAGTCTACCAACATCTTTGCAGGTAAATCCGACGGTGCAAAGCTTCCAAGTCTCGGTCAACAGACTGGACAGGACAGCTTTGCGAGCGATAACATCTCCAAGGCGTCGCTTCCCGACACTGGCGGGGCCAACCCAATCGGTCACAAGGATCCTTCTGACGAGATTGTGAGGCGCCTCGCTACCCGCAGTTCAATACCAGCTGCTGAGACCAGGCAAGCCAGCAATCCGAGCCCTCCGTCGCAACAGGAAGGTAGACGTGCGAAGTCTGGTCGCGATCTTCGAAGGACTTTCGAGGAAGACAACGGGATTTCTCCCAAACGGCTCAGGCGCAGTGGATCACACACTGCTTCTTTGACAGAGAGTGGTACTTCAGCAAAGGAACCCGTCGATCGTGTCGCGGAGTGGACCCAGAGTACGGATGTTGGAAATCCTCGCAACCAGTCTGGGAAGTCCATTGGTGTGCGCAGACGAGCTGAGGAGATCGTGGCAAGGAATCTCGGCCACGACGGTGCAAGCGACATGAGTGTCTCCCGACAAAGCTGTATCTCAGGCTCGATACCAACTGCCAACATTGGTGTCGAGGAGCAGTATGGCGAGACCGAAGTGCCGGACGATGTCGACAACCGCCAAGGGTATGGACGTCGCGTCACACAAGACTTTGGCTTCCCAGGCGCACGGATCAAGTCGTATGGCATCAACAAGACAAGCCGACCGTTGCGAGACCCTGGCAATTGGACCAAGCGAGCGTGCGGACACTTCTCATACATGGGCAAAACCGAGCACCGCGAGCATGCACACGAGAAGATATGCCGGCAATGTTCGACCCGAGTACCAGTGCTTGAAGAGCTACTGTCTACGAAGCGGCGGACACGCAGACGTGCTTCATCAGAATCATTGACCTCTACAACCCCTTCATCGAAAATCTCCACAGATGACTGTTGCCGCCGGCAGAGGCGTCGTCGGTGTCACTCTGAAAGCATGTCGCTTGACAGATGCGGAGATAGATTTGCTGATGAGTTGGGTCATATCATCGACAATATTCTAGAAGAGCATGCAAACACACTCCAGAATGTCATCAGCAACATCAAGAGCACTCAGCCCAGTCTCGACCAGCTTCGAAGGGTGTCTGGAGACCTTGTTCAGCGATGCAATACCAACGGATGTGATAGAAGTCGTTGCCAGACATCATGTCGTCCAGCACGAGCATCCTGTCGACGAGACGATGATTGGCATCCACCTTGCCCATATCTCCCACCCAAAGCGGCAGAGAAACTTAATGTTGGGGCTACAGGCCAAGTCAAGCCGAACCTCAACGATCCTGAATCGAGCCTGCGTGACGAGGTGCAGTCAATACCCGACCTGGTCGATCTTGTCAAATCTGCAGCCGACGATCTCGGCTTCGATCTTGACCGAAGACCCACCGCGACCGACGATGATATGTTCCATAATGCCCCTTACGAGACTACACCCGTGAATTCTGTCTCACGTCACACTGATTTCTCCATCGGAACAGCAGAGAACAGGGCTATGGAGGACGAGCCGCTTACCGAAGACAGCTGGCTACAGCAAACGCGTAGACACTTGACCGAACTCTCGGAGGCCCGAGAACAGCTTATGGACGAACTGGATTCCATCGCTGGAGATCTCGACGTCAAATTTCGAGACCAACCAGAGGTTGAGTCGGTGACTGATTCGGATGCACCACATGCACACCGTGTACTCAGCAAAGCTCCCACGGGTCTCGCGCGTACATCCACGTTACAGAGAGACGCTCTTATCGACTCAGTACAGCGTATGCTCAGCAAAGCGCCTACTGGCATCTCACGCAGCTCTACATGGCATGAGCAGAGTCAGGGAGAAGAGGCTGCGGACGACCTCGATTGCAGTAAAGCGCCTACTGGCATCTCACGCAGCTCTACGTGGCATGAGCAGAGCCAGGGAGAGGCTGCTGACGACCTCGACTTCAACCTGGCACAGCGCAGATCTAGCAAAGCTCCTACCGGTCTCCCACGCACGTCTACTTCGCAGAAAGATGCTATGATCGACTCGGTACAACGTGTGCAACGTGTGCTCAGTAAGATCCCCACCGGCCTCTCACGCAGCGCTACACGGCATAGAGAAGATGACGGAGATGAGGAAGAGAAAGAAGCAGTCGATAATCGCAGTCTCGGACTTGTGCAGCGTGTACTGAGCCCAACCCCTGCAGACTTCTCGCGCACGTCTACATCGCAAGCAGATGCCATCGTCGACTCGGTACAGCGCGTGCAACGCGTGCTCAGCAAGATTCCTACTGGCCTCTCACGCAGCTCTACATGGCATGGAGAAGACGAGGAGGCCGGAGAAGACCCCGACATCGAGCCAGTGCAGCGTGTGTTGAGCATGTCACCTCCTGGTATCTTACAGGCCTCTACGTGGATCAGGGACGCTTCTGTCGACGCAACGCGACGTGTACTCAGTAAGCCTCTTACTGGCCTCCTGCGCAATACTACTTGGCATAGCATGGGAGACGACCCAGCAGACAATTCTTTCGTCGAGCCCGTACAACGTGTACTCAGCAAGGCTCTTACTGGTCTCTCGCGCAACTCTACATGGCAAAAGGATGATGATGCACCGGTAGACGAAGCCGTTGTTGAAAGTGTAGAGCGTGGACTCAGCAAGGCTCCTACCAGCGTCTCGCGCGAATCCGAATAGCAGGAGGATACGCCTACTGACTTCGATACTACTCAGACTGGTCAGCACGACGATGAAGACGAGTCGTTCGGGGAGCCTACGCAGCCTACACTCGAGAAGGTCAACACTAGCCTCTCACGCGCATCTACGTGGCACGGTAACAGACCTGTCGAAGATGAAGAGCCCGGAGCTGACAATCCGGGTCTCCATGAGGATGATCTGGTCGCCACAATCGTACGGAATGTTCTCAGCAAGGTGCCCTCTGGCTTCTCACGCGCATCCACATGGCAGGACAACAAGACTGTTGACATTGAAGACATCGGGGCTGACGTTTCGGATCACCAGGGGGATCTGGTTACCGCAATGGTGCAGCGTGTTCTCAGTAAAGCATCCACTAATATCTCGAGCAAGCCAACCTGGCCCAGTTCTAAGACTCCCAACACCGCCGAAGATGAAATCCAGAGCGTTGTCGATAACAGTGTTGACGAGCTTCGGCTTAGTCGCGCACTTACTCGGATTCTCAGCCAACCGAAAGAGCCTCGGTCTGCTGGTCAAGAGCCATACAAGGCTGAAGACGTTTCGCCTGAAGAGATCTAGGAGGTGCTTCGAGTGGCGAGAGACGAGCTTCCGGCTGCTGTTGCTTCGATCACTGCCGTCTTGCAGACATTGCCAGCTGCTGAACATGCGCCCAGTGACGAGATCAGTGACGTTATGGAGCCCGATCAGCATGTTGAGCTGGCATATGAAGCGCAAGATAACCCGCAGTATGATACAACGGACGATCCTCAAATCGAGCCGCAACTTCCGAGTCAAGTGAGCCAAGGATACGGCGAAGCCACGTCTGATACTTACAGCGATCACTATACTGTATCCCCGGTCATTGAAGAAGAACCTGAGTTCCAGCCTCCTGTGCAGCGAATTCGCCGAAGAAGTACAGCGCCACCTCTTGCACAACGACAAGAATCGTTCATACCTGGCTCAATAGCTGTCTCGATACCTTCCAGTTATTCTTCCGTAGTGG